AAAAATGTTGACATAGAAATTGCTAGTATGATTAGCTTTAAGTCAATATTCAATGAATTTTTTGAGTTGAAAGAAAGTTTTGTGGAATTCCAATTAATTCGAAAGTTATGCATAGCAACCTCACTGCTCAAATCAGATTCGGTGGTATATTCAATTTCTAATTTTTGAGACTTTTTAAGACTTTCAGAATTCTGGTGTATTCAATCAGAACTTTTAGAGACTTCTAAAAAGTTTACATGTATTCAATTGAGACTTTTAACAAGTCTTTAAAAAATTAAAACTTTCTGAGAGTCTCTATAGGCCACCCTGTATTCAAAATAGGAAGACTTTATGAGACTTTAAATTGTGAGACTTTTAGAGACTTTTCTAACAAAATTACAAAGAGAAAGTCCCAACAAAAATCTCATCAATATTGGTGAGATTTTGCTGGACTTATGTGACTCTTCACGCTCCCTTTCTTTTTTCTTTCTAACACGACTTTGTATCTCATATCACTTTCATGCTCTATTGTTCTACTCATTTATTTTGATACCTTGTATAATTTTTATTTTCATTACGTATATTTAACGTGATCTTTATTTTATATTTTTTATTATGGTTATTTTATGTATGTATACCTTTATTCTTTCATTTTGTTATCTTGTGAATTTGATTTTTCAAAGGTTAAATGCTTCCATAGTTTGCACTTGCAAATAATTTATTTGTTCCCTCTTTTTATTAGTCAATGTTTATTTTAAAATATTAATACAATTACTGTTTTTCGACAATGAATGTATCTTTCATAGTTCGACTCGTTGAAACTCAGATTGATTTGCTCGTTTAATAAATCTAATTTCCTAAACAATTTGTTAGTGAGTAACTCATTTCGCTTTAACAATTAGTTGATTCATAAATTTTTAGAGGAATAATATATAAAAACATATTTTTTTTCATTTATTCTTCTTGATATTAATTATAATTACTATGTTACGTTTATTAATGTTTCATTCAAACATAATATTATAACTACGAGTAAATAAAAGTCTCAAAAAATTTTAAAAAGTCCATTATGAAAGTCTTAAAAAGTCATTTATGAGAATTCTCTGAAAGTTTCAAAAAGTCCACCAAAATCATAAAAATTTTACAAAGTCCACAAAATTCACCAAATTTAAAAAATTTTAAAAAGTCCTTAAAAATCTCAATTGAATACAATCCCTAAGTCTTGGCTTAACAGAATCCATATAAGCTAATGGTCGTTTTATAGCTTTGTCATGAAGCGTGCAAAACCTTTGAGTTTCTATCGAATTGCTAATTAATGACTTATACACATGGTTTATGAACGTGGACTAGATTCTGATACCAATTGACGCAAACAAAAAATTCTCGATTAAACCGACAATGAAAACAAGTAATATGATCTTCGCGATTAACATAAATAACTAGGAAGAAGGGAGTTTAAATCTCTATTTTTCACATCAATAATCCCCCAACTTTAGTAGACTCTATATCTATACTAGATATAAGAAAAACTTAAAAATAATAATTATCCTAACTTATAAATAAATAATAAAGTCCAATAAAATCAACTAACACTAGATAACATTTCACAAAATTTTATTTAAGATATTACTATATTTCCATCGATTTCGTTATGTAAGTTTATTTATTTATTTTTGTCCATTTTACAATGAAATTTTTTATTATACAAAGGAACATATTTTTTGAGATTTTGAGTGAAATTTTGAAACGTTTTGAAATTTGTAATTTTGTGCGACAGTGTGAGACTTTATCAAATTTAAGACTTTAAAATTTTTAGGAGGAATTCTGTGAAAATATTAAGTTTGTAGGTGAGATATGTAGTTAGATTTAATATATGATTTTTTCTTTTGAAATCACAAAAAATCTTAAAAAATATTAACAAATTATATTATCAAATAAGTTAAATAATCAAAATTTTGTAAGAGTTTTTAAAATTTTAAATGAATACCTCACTACTTTTAAAAGTGTAAATTAAATATACTAAATTTCTTAAGTTTTACAAAACCTACACAGAAATCCCAAACGACTCCCTGATTAAGGTATGATGTTATTATATACAAGTTTTTTTCATAGATCTACCTATTATACAAATATACAATATAGATCAAAATTGATGTCAATTCAGATCAAATGACTTAACGTAAAGATCACTCAAAATATTCATCTTCATATCAATATCTATTCAGTGAATCAGTGGCACAAAGGTCGTCTTTCTTCGTAGAATTTCAAGATCGCACTTTCCCTTTATTTTGTTTTTGTTTTTTGTAGTCATCTAAAAAAATGCAAGGAAAAAGTCTCCAAACAATCATAGTTGTTGAATTTAATGGGATATTTGGGGGCCATGGTACGTGGATTCAACCTCTGAATCCATTTTCCTTTTAGGATTAATAATTGCGGAGCTAATTAGTTGAGTATTTTCGTCCACTGATTGTGGATTAAAGAAAACTTACTGAGTATAAAAAATATTGAATAAAAAAGTATTCAATATAAAAGCATTGTACAATTTTTTATGACTTGACTAAGGAGCTGTTAAAACAAAAAAAGTTGTGAGTTTCGTTAAGACTCGTGTTCTGCTAGCTTAAACTCAAAAATATAAATATTATATAATTTTCTATACGGCGGCTTTAAAAGGCTCGAATTTAGCTCATTAATATTGACAAGTGGGCTGATTTCGAGCTTGTGCTCGAATTAGCTCATTAATATTGATAAACGAGTCGAGTTCGAGCTTGTGTAATTAAAAGTCGAGCTCAACTCGACGTGATAAAGGTAACGAGTCTTAAGTTCATCCCAAACATCTCTGGTTGTGGTAAAAAAACATGTTGGAGTATCACTTGTGAGTTGTCCCACATTGATTCTATAAGAAAATTGGGTCTAGGTTATATGCCTAGTGGGCTACTTCTCCCATCGCTAACTGATTTGGGATGGAACCTCATTACGGTGCACCTAGACCTACTCTCTTATGGTGTGCTTCATTTGCGTGGGATCGCACCCTCTTGCCCCGATTCTTTAATCCTACATGGTATTAGAACCAGGCCAACTCCGGCCTGGGTCTCTATCTCTACCTGACCAACTCCAGTCTACCCTCTAACCGGCCAACTCTAGCCAAGATCTCTATCTCTACTCGACTTGCTCTAGGCTTGGGCTTATGAAGAACTCACAAGTGAGGAGGCGTGTTGGAGTATTACTTTGTACTTGTCCCACATTGATTCTATAGGGAAATTGAGCCTAGCTTATATGCCTAGTGGGTTACTCCTTTTATCACCAATTGGTTTTTGGATAGAACCTTACTATGGTGCACCTAGGCCCACCCTCTTATGGTGTGCTTCATTTGCATGGGATCGCACCCTCTTGCCACTTGTCGAAGGAGTCGAAATTGTATTGTCGACGAAACCGCCTTTGTTCTTCACGCTGAGCGCCATGAGGACAGCACGCGACCAAGAAACATAGTTCTCGCCGTTGAATGGTTCAACAACTATAAGCGTACCCGAGTTGTCGCTAGTGTGCAAATAGTAGGGAGAAGCGGGATCACCGATGGGATTCAGAACATCAACCATCTATGGATTATTGAGAATTAACAGCTATGTATAGATCGAGTTTGAGCGATCGAAAATCATAGAACAACAATTGTAAATCGAAGAGATTTAGGTCTTGGAGATTGAAAACACTAAAAAAATGTTGATTGGATTATTAGAGGTGGAGAATCTGGATTATCAGAGGTGGAGAATCAATCGAAGCAACAATAGAACAATAAAGAGAATCAAATTGCAGAAGCGATAAACGGCGAATCGTCGGCGATTGATACCATGTTGGATTAAAGAATCGATCAAAAGAGATGAAGAGAAAGCAAAAGTGATGCAACAAGGAAAGGAAAAATTCTTGTATACAGATTTTAGGAGAATAAACAGTAGTTTACATGGTGTGGTTTGTGTTCTTTTATACTTAGGGTTACATGGAAATAAAGTAGTAATTTACAAGGCAAGCCTATAGTTGTTAATTTTATAGTTGCTTTTTGTTCAATAGTTTACAACACTTACTAACCTACATACTAAATAAGGCTTGTGCCCAAGCTCGAGTATCAAAGACTAGAGCTTGACTTGGCTCGTTTACAGCTTTAATCAACACCAAGTCAACGTTAGCCTCTATGTGCAAGGCAACAATCAATAAGTCAATTGAGGTACATGCCAACTAATTTTTAAACTTTTAAATTATATTTATATATATCATATTTCTTATAAATATTAATAGAAGTAACAAAAATAAAGTTGAAGTAATACTATTGAAAATAAAGTTCGGATCAAATGAGTAAACCAAATCGGTTCAATGCCCTAATTGATTGAGTCACGAGCTATCTCAACCGAGCTGACTACAAAACGGTTTAGAATGACCAACCCAGGCTAGGTTCGGTTTGCTTCACATTCTTTATAAAGCAAGAAACACAAGTTTATTTTTTTCCTAGAAATACAGAGCAGGAGCGAGTAGCTCAGTATCAGCACCAATTGACCTCAAGGCAAACAAAAGAAAATAAAGAACCACAAAGAGAGACTCTTGTGACAAGTCCTACAAAATAACCATCCAGCTTAAAACTATTATGTGCAGTAAATATTAGCACATTCATTACCATACTCTATTTACACCAGCTGAGTAGAAAATCTATAAACATTTCAAGAAACATCAAAGGAGTTGTCACTAGTTACCATCAGGTCAACATAAGGCTAATACCTATGACCTGAAAGAACATCACAGAAGTCCATTGTCGAGCTAAGTATCTTCTTCTTCTTCTTCCCATTATGGTAGAAAGATGATTGTAATCTTATGCAGTGTTCAAGTTCACACTAGCACACGATCACCATAGATTTCCTGCAACAACTTCAATTTCCTTTTTTTTTTCTTTTTAAATCTAAGATTTAGAAGTCGAAGTTTATTTAAAGATGGCAAGAGGTAGTTGTAAATAGTGTGGCCGAGCGATAAGCAGCTTCAAAACTTCTCGAGAGAAGAAAGCCACCTCTCCATGTACTCCCTACCCACTGCCAAATAGAAATTAAAAGTAAAAAGAAATCCGAATGATACTCGGGAATATAAAATCATGAGACCAGATACAATTGATAAACTTTATAGAAGAGAACAATAAGCTGGACAAGGGTTAAAAACTCAATAATAATCATACTTAAGGCAGGAAGTCTTCAAAGATATAATTCAAGAAACAGAGCAAAATCATGTTAAGTTTTGGCTTAAGTTTTGCCATCGCTAGCAATGAATACCCAAACTAATCTGCATATTGAAGAAGCTCAGCACATAACTATGTGACCTTGAGGATCTTTCACAGTTGAAGCATGAATATATCGGCCATTTCACTTCAACTCGCCTAAGTTTGTTCAAAAGATGCAAAAACATAATTTCCATTACCCATAAAAGCTCCATTTATTGGTAATTGGTGTGAAGAAATGAGTTTGCAAAGTTTTCCACCTTTTGGTACCTTACAGACCGACTTTTCCACTTTCTTGCAGATAAGGTAACATAAATTTCCTAACATTTTCCTAACAATCAACTCAAATCCATAATATAGCTTTAAAATGATTTTACGGCATACAGGATGTCTCAACATCCATCACAAACCAGCCTAAGGCATGTCACTTTTCACAGAGAACAAGTAAGATACAAATACTGTCAAAATAGATCAAGCATAAGCACTTCAAAAACAAATAAATAAATTAACTCATAAGTTAAAGAAACAGACTTTTTGCTTGGTGATAATGCCTAGGAGCCCAAAATCAAGCTGCTGCAGGAACCAAACAGTGAACAACCAAACAAAACAAATTCAAAGCCTTTTTATTTTTTTCCATATCCTAATGCAATATCCTCTTTGCTGATTAACACATAGCACCATATTTATTAAGAAACAAAATCATCCCCAACTGAATCAAAGATGACACTTACAAATATTGAAAATTATTAAAATGCATCCGAATTCTTGCATTCAGCTCATCACTTACCATCAGAATAACCATTAGGACGGTTTTTAACTGCGCCCAAGAACTGCATGCCGCTGTCAAACTCATTTCCCTCCAATTCCTGGCAATCATGCCTATAGCAAGGGACCAACACAGCAAAACTGTTATCTACATCACCATCACATTGAAAACCTGGATCGTGTGGCTCGAGCCACCCGATTGACCAATCAGAGTCGTCAGATTCAGACTCGGACAAACAAAAACCATCTGATGGCACCAAAACCACATCATGCTCTCTATCAATCCTATTGTCACTATCTCCCCTCCTCTTCCATTTCCTCTTTGCCTTTTTCCTGTTCGAATTCGAAGGAGGAATTCTTTTGTAATTGCTGTTCATTGAATAAAGTTTGAGACTTTCAGGTTCTTCTCTCAATCCTAAACCACTTTCATCCAAAGAATTTATAGAATTTGTGGATGACCCATTTGAAACTTGGTCTTTAGCTTTCCCACCCAACCATAACCATGAAAATCTAGTGCAAGAAAGAGCCATGTTTCTCTTTCTACCTTTTTATCCTTTTTTACCCTTTTCTTTTCTCTCTCTCTCTTTTCTCCCTCACTAGGGAATGTAAAACCAGTGGCAACAAATTTAAAGATAAACAGAGTGATCAAATTTGAAGCAGAAAAAATTCAGGCAAGAAACCAGAAATTTCCCCAAAGACACAAAAGGAAAAAAAATATGGATTTGAACAAAACTTCAGATCAATCAATTGAAGCACCGAAAGGAAATATATAAAGTAGCTTTAAGGAAAAGCCAAAACATCGGACACGAAATGCGAAAGTAGCATCAATCAATTGACCCTGTAAGTCCCTTCAAATGCTCACAGGGCAAAATTTCCCAAAAAAGTTTCATTCACGTTGAAGAAAGAAGCAACCATGTTGACAGGATGAGGAAATATGTCGACTGACTAAATTCAATGAATCGCAAACAAACATAAATTTCTTCAACGGCTCAAAGAGTCCTAAACAGGCAGAACAAATTATGAAAGATCTAAACTTTAATAAAGAGAATTTCTTTGTCTATTTTTATATATATATTAGCAAAAAAAACTCGACAAAAATGATTAAAAACGATGGTATTAGAAGACCCTTAAGACCGTCTCAACACCCACCCACAAAAATTGGAACTTTCCGAACTCACAGAACAANTCTCTGAAATGAAGAAGACTCTCTCTCTCTCTCTCTCTCTCTCTCTATACTGCCTTATCCCATCTCCACACACCCCAAGGTTTCTCAGGTAAGAGAAAAGAACTGAAAGTCTTTTTTCGGCAGTGAAGAACGATGTAGACGTGTAGTAATGTTTATATTTAGATGTGTTGGGGTTGGGAACTTTGGATGGATTTGTTATTCAGTTGCTAGTGTTGTGTTATGTGAGATATGATTGCTTGGCTCATTTTCCCAAAATTACGAAATCGTCCCTAGACTTCGATGAGATCATGGTAGGCGTGGCCATGGGCCACCCGGCTCGTCGGCCCGGCACAGACCAAGCACGGTCAAACCTGTTGACCACAAGTCTGGGCTCGGCTCGAATTTCAACTGGACTGGTCCAGGACCTTGTTTTTTCGACCCTGGTCCGGCGGGCCGGGCCGGATTTGATCCCGCATGGAAAAAAACACATGCTTTTTAATTTTTTTTTTTTTTATTTGGACGGGCCAGACCTAAGTCGGACCCAGCCCGGCACGGATCTAGGCCGTGCCAGTTCAGGGTCCACAAACCCAGTCTGGCCAGGCCGGGCCCGTGTTTTGGCCATGTCTACGACGACCAAGCACGGACCCGGCCCGGTCAAACCCGTTGACCATAGGTTTGAGCCCGGCTAGGATTTCAACCGGGCCGATCCAAGGCCTTGTTTATGTCGACCTTGGCCCGGCGGGCCGGGTCGGGTCCAGTCTGGCCCGAGAAAAACACATTGTTTTTAGTTTTTTCTTTTTTTTTATATTTTTTTTATTTGGGCGGGCCCAGACTCGGGTCGAGCCCGGCCTGGCCCGCCGGGCTATGGACCCGACATGACCTAGATCCGTGCCGGTTCAGGGTCCATGAAACCCAACTCATCGGCCGGCCGGGCCGGGCCGAACCGTGTTTTGGCCATGTCTAGATCATGGAACAATTGTTGATAGCATTACCCTTAACCGAAGGGTGCGTTCGGCGACTTCCATGGATTGTTTATACCATCTCCAATCATCTACTTTACTCTAAAGTGGAGTTTACTCTGCTTTATAATAGATAATGTCAAAGTTTAAAATATAATAATACAAAATTTCCAAAAATTCTCTCTCATCTCGGACGACAAAAAAAACTCCTTTCCTAAACCCTAACCTTCCGCGCATGTGGTGCGCGTCTTCTCCGGCAGGGGCTGTCCGCCGTGACTCCATCCCTCTCACGGACTGTCCTGGCCAGACTATGCTTTTCCTGGTAAGATCAGCTTTCCCCTCTCTGTTTGGTGGAGCTTCGGCCGTCGGGCTGTGTTGGTGGTTGTCGGTTGTAGGTGAAGCATGGAGTCTGGCGCCAGCGCTCCTGCCGGTGGCTGGTGTGATGGTCGTGACTGCGGCGCTCCTTGGACCCTCGATTTCTGCAGACGTGACTCTCGGGCTATGTCCGTCGGATCCCGTGGTGGGGGGAGGCGGTAGTCCAATTCACCTTGGGCGGGCCGAGAGTTGGTGATTGAGTTGAGGTTCTCTTCCTCTGGTTGGTGTTCGGTGCCTAGGGCCGATTGCGGTGTCGTTAGTGAGCAACAAGGGGTTGTACAAGTAGAGGAATTTTTAGAAGTCCTCAGCATAAGAATTGTGATGTCACCATTACTCTTAACGATTGGTTAAATTGTCAAACAGTTACGAAATTTTTAGAAACATTTCAAACTGCTACTAACATACTTTTTGAGATTTACTATCATATTGCTCAATTTGTGCTCAATCAATGCGTAGCCCTAATGTGAGGTTTTAGAGATATTTTTGTTAAAGATCTTGATAAACACGACAAACTTGTAAGGGATATGTTAAGAAAAAGATTAAAATATTATTTTCTCAATTCCCGACAATTTTAGTAGCATCATTGTTAGATCCGTCACTATGTGAAATTGACTTGCTCAACCAACTTCACACATATTATGATATTATCTATCAACTTCCACTTCCACTAATGTCTTGACTATCAGTGAAAGACATAACCCGTGGCTGCTCGTCGAGCAAGCAAAAGATTTCTTATGTGAATTGTTTAGGGAAACAATCGGACTCAAGGAAAATCCGACATCATTTTCGTCTCATGCTTCTGGGTCCTCTTCTTATGGACAATGGAGACAAACGACGCAACAAGCCTCAAACTTTGATGATTGGTGGGACTCAAATTCTAATCCCTACAAGAATGCTAAGATCTAAAGAGTAAATAGGACTAGATACAATGAGCTTGGTCACTACCTCGTCTCAAATTTGTTACTTATGATTGCTTGTGAATCAGTTGAGCCACTCAAATTGGATGTCTTGGATTGGTGGTAAAATGAGTATCATTTATCATATTCCACGCTTGATGGCCAATAAGATTTTCGCTATCCCGACCTCAACAGTGGCGGTTGACCAAACATTTAGTGGAAAAGGATATACACTGGATGTATGGTGATCGAGGTTGACGCCACAAACCTTGAAAGCTCAAATGTTGCTGAGTGATTGGAAGAAGGTCGAACGAAGGATTCAAACGACCATACTGAAAAGGATGAAGAAGAAGACACCTTTGATTTTACTAATACGATTGGAACTGCTGAGACCGAAGACGACTACGAGACCTACAATTACTAGAGCGTCGGTTCACTGACGCATCCTACCATCTACTTTCATGGAGGTAATTAAAGTAAGATAACTACAGAACTTTGATTTTCAAGGTAAGAGATACGTAGGCAACTTAACTGACATATTGTAAGTTACAATATCATTTTATAATCAAAATAATTCTCCAACTTACTTAATATTTGAATTTATAATATGTCAACTAAGTTCAGTTCTAATTTTTTTAACACCTCTCATCCATTTTTGTTTTTTAAAAAGCAGCACTGAACTAGCGATTCACTAAACCGGCCCGAAATCGCCGATTCAGACCCCAAAAAATGCGGCCCAGAACCGACGGCCCGAAATCGAGTTTTGGTCGTGTCTATAATGATCTAATCAACAATTGCAAAATAATGTCCCTTTTATGAAGTGTAGCTAGTAATAGCGAAATAAATAACAAAATGAAGTAGTTGTGATTTAAAGACTATATTGTGTTTGGTAAGCAACATAAGCTATCTTATAAGTTTCTTGTAACCAAATAAGTTTGGTTTGGTAGGACGTACTTTTGAAAAATGTTCGAGCTTATTTCATAAGTTTATGTAGAGAACTTTTCAAATAAGCCCGTTGAATTTTTATTTCAGCTAGTTTATCAGCTAATTTTACCAGACATTTTTATCATACAAACTAGCGTTTCAACCATAAGTTACAAGCTATCAACTATAAGTTCGATATCACTCATAAGCTATCAACTAACTTATCAGTTATCAGCTAAATTTACCAAACATAAGTTTTTTTGGTAAGCATCATAAGCTAACTTTAGCTTATTTGGTTAACTTATAAGTTTTTTGTGTTTATATAAGTTTGGTTTGTTAGGACGAGTTTTTATTTATTTATTTATTTTATATTTTTTTACTCGAGCTTATCTCATAAGATTCTTTAGGTAACTTTTAAATAAGCCCGTTGAAATATATATTTCAACTAGCTTATCGGTTAATTTTACCAAATACTTGATCATATAAGCTGCTTTTCAGCCATAAGTCATGAGCTATCAATTATATATAAGCTCGGGTTCACTTATAAGCTATCAGTTAACTTATCAGTTATCCCAAACATAACTTATATTTAGGCTAATTCAAACTTAGCATTAACAACTAAGGGTTACTAGCTACTACTTAGATTGTGTTCGGTAAGTATCATAAGCTAACTTATAACTTAATTAGTTAGCTTATAAGTTTTGCGTATTCAAATATGCTTGATTTTGTATGAATAATTTTTTTAAAAAGTCCAAGTTTTTGTCATAAGTCTCATTAGGTAGCTTTTCAAATAAGTTCATTGAAATTTTTATTACAACTGACTTATCAACTAATTTAACATTTTTATCATATTAACTATCTTTTTAGCTATAATCCGAACAATCAATTATAAATTTCAAATTCACTTATAAACTATCAATTAGCTTATCAATTTACCAAAACATAGCCTTTTAACTTCACGAGCTACGCAGCAATGGAAG